AATTCTCCTTCTCTGCGCACGCAACCGCTATTGTCAATAAAGTACAGAGCCGCAACAAGGTCCTCAAGTCGCTAGCCGGCAGTACTTGGGGCAAAGACAAAGAAACGTTGTTGGCAACATACAAGGCAATAGGCCGGCCGGTTTTAAACTACGCAGCACCAGTGTGATCGGCGGGGACTAGTAGGACGCAGTGGATGAAGCTACAAACACAAAACACCGCACCCAGGTCAGCGACTGGATGCCTCCTGATGTGCCAGAACACCACCTTCATGGTGAGGCGAAAATGCTCCCAGTCAAGGAGCATAACACAATGCTCTGCAAGCAGTTTCTGGTTGGGAGCCACAGATGTTGGCACCCAAACAGACAGCTGCCTGCAGAGGAGCCCTCGCCTAGGCACGTCAGGAACGCATCTATACGAACTGACGGACGAAGTCCAGAGGTTCATTAAGCAGCCTCTGGACCCGTCAGCATACCGACAGGCCCTGAACGGCATTCACAGGGAGTCAGTCTCGAGTTATGTAGACTCTAGACCTGTGAATGCCGTTCTAGGCACACAACCACCGGAAATTGACGCGACGGAGCTTCATCTGCCTCGGGAGACAAGAACAACAATAGCCCAACTTCGCTCTGGCTACTGCAGCAGGTTAAACTCATACCTGAGCAGACTAAATGCGGATGTGCCAAATGAGCGTCCGGCATGCGGGGACCCCTCACGACTCGAAACATCTCTTCGCATGCCCGGAAAACCCGACAACCCTAACGGCTTTATCCCTGTGCACCGACCCAGTGGAGGCTGCACGCTTCTTAGGGCTGCCGTTAGTGGAACTTGACGACAACGACTGAGATATCAACCGATCTGGGCGGGGTTGTTGTAGTCGCTACAACAACAACGACTGAGAGACTAGTCGATCTGGGCGAGGTTGGCTCTTGGAGTATTCGAGAGAAAGATTTTGCGGAAGATTTGCGGGCCTTTACGCATTGGCGACTACCGCAGACGATGGACAGATGAGCTGTATGAGCTTACAACGACAAAGGCACAGTGCAGCGAATTAAAATACAGTGGCTCCGCTGGCTTGGCCATGACGTAAGAATGGACTCCGACGCTCCAGCTCTGAAAGTATTCAACTCGGAACCCGCTGGTAGTAGCAGAGGAAGAGGGAGGCCCCCACTGTGATGGAAAGACCAAATGAAGAGGGACTTGGCTTCACTTGGCATTTCCAATTGGCGTCATTTGGCGCAGAAGAGAAACGACTGGCGTGCTTTGTGAACTCGGCCAAAATCGCTTAGGCAGTTACAGCGCCAAATAAGAAGAGTGGTCATTTAACTGCAGTTTAAATATATGATCTAAAAATGAATAGCTTAAATTGCTCGTCTGAAATTAGGCCTTAGTCTACCAACAGACTGTTATACTATTTTTAACTTGTTTGATGTTTAAAAATCAGAGGAAAAATTATCAAGCTGTTAATATATGCATTAGTGAAAGTAGGAATTTTTTTTTAATAAAAAAGGAGATTTCAGGAGCTACATATAAGATACCTTTTTTCATGTTGTACTCGACCCTACCTAAAACCTAAATACCCTAAGTTTTTCCTGATTTTTTTTGTAGCACCATGTAATAAATAAATCTGTAAATGCAAAATACTAAACATGTAAAAACAACTTATAATAACATGAACAAATACTTTCATCAACTTTTGAGCAAAGCATAAACATCACTTTTTGGATCGGGTGCCAGAGAGCTCCAAGGTGTCCCCCGACATAAATGCAACGCCTCATGTGCTGAGAGTTTCATTTGTAGCGCATTCTCTTCCACTGCACACGTTTCACGTAAGAAGAAGAATTTAACCACCAGATCGTCCACCCAAGTTTTGAGGTCCTTCCCACTACGTTGGGCCTTTTTGAACTCATTATTAAGTCGATGATCGTCCAAGGGTGTTGGCAAATACTGACGCCACTCGGCTGGTATTTCAAAAGTTCCGGCTAATGATGGCTCAGAACCACCATTCACTACCCTTGCTCTCTCTGGCTTGATAGGCTTACCAGCTGCTACAGCTAATGGAACTACAAGAAATTTAGTTTGGGCATATATAGCGGTGCGACCGATTAACTTGGTTGTCCATATGCCTGGCATTATTGGATGTTTCAGGACAGCTTTCGAGTAATTTATTGCGTCCGCCTGTGAGTCTTCTATGTGCAGTTCGTTGAAATCCTGCAATCGGCCCACGGGGTCAATCCATAGCAGCGTTAGATTATACGAATGTGCAGCATCATTTTGCGCTGCCGACGCAGTACCGGCCAGTGTAAAGCTTAGCACAGGCTCGGAGAAAGGGCCAAGCATTTTAGCAAAATTACGAGACACTTGTTCCTTCAGATCAAAATCAGACGCAACTTCGAAATTACGGAGTTTTTTCGCCAATTTTGAATTTTTCGCGTACTTCACGTACACCGCTGGTCTAATTCGAGTTTCAAGAGCAAGCGTGCGATTATGCAAACTATCCGAAAGTTGGTAACTTATCAGGAAACCCTTATATTCATCTTTATGTAAGTAGTGCGTTAACTCCAAGGGTTGACCAGGCTCTACTTGTGCCTTATGCGCTACTATACGAACCAAGCTATCACCTATGGTTCGCACAATATCGTCCGCCGATGTCGGTGGATCTACAGAATCGTAGAATGACTGCCAATAACTATGCAAATTAACCACCTCCTTGCCGTGAGGTCCGAAAAGCCACTCTTCTAATTGAAATAGCACAGCTTGATTTATTATTGGCTCGAATTTTCGTGCAAAAAAGAGCATTTTGTTTTCAGTAC